TGTATTTTGATATTTAACTGTTACTCAAGTTTTAGAAATTTTTCTGTTATAATTTCTTTGAATAAGCTTTCTACCCCTTATTCTTGCTCAGTTCCCTCCTGAACACTAGTAATTCTTAGGTTTGGTCTTTTGAGGTAATTTTGTATGTTTTAAAGGTAATCTTCATTCCATTCTTTTTCCTTTTTTTTCTCCTCTCTGTATTTTCAAATAGCCTGTCTTTGAGCTCACTGATTCTTTTTTCTGCTTGATCCATTCTGCTCTTGAGAGCCTCTAATGAATTTTTGGTTCAGTTCCAAGATTTGATTTTTTTTTTCCATTTCAGTCTCTTTGTCAAATTTCTCTGATATATTTTTGAATTGCTTTTCTGTGTTATCTTGGAGATCACTGTATTTCTTTCAAGCTGCTATTTTGATTTCTTGGTCAAAGAGTTCACATATCGCCGTCTGGTTAGGGTCAGTCACTGGTTGATTGCTTTGTTTGAGGAGGTTGTGGTTCCCTGTTTGATAATGTTTCTTGTGGATGAACATCTATGCCTTAGCATTGAAGGATTAGGTATTTCTTCCAGTCTTCTCAGACTGACCTATTTTAGTTTTAACTGCATATGTTTGCCTAGAGATTGTTTGTGATTTACTTGTTGGTTTTCTTTCTTTTTTTTCCTGCTAGGTCACTGCCTCCTTTTTGGTACTAGATGATGCCTTAAGCTCAGGTTTGCCTCAGTTCTAGTAAACAATCAGAGTGCGACCTGTCCCAGCTGAGGATATCCCAGTGGTGTGGGAAGACTCGCTAGGGGTTTGTGCTCGATTGACTGGTAGAACGAACCTCTTAGAACATGGTGCTACTGAACAACCATTCTGATTTGGCATCTCTTTTGGCTGAGTTACAGAACAGAGTTTGCAGGGCTGGGGATGGTGGTTTCCCCCCTTTTTGTCTCTGGTGGTCCACGGGGATATTTTTCTCTTCAGCCTTCCTAAGAGTTGAGGGCAGGGACAGGTCTCCTAAGATGGTGGGGAAGCTGGTTGTCCTCCCTGAGCTTACCTTTTCCAGCGTAGAAGCCATGAGTCTGGGGAAAATTTTCCATGTGTTTGGTGCTGGGCAGATGGGGGGCAGGGGGGTTGTGGATATGGAAGTTCAAGTCTCTTACCGTCTGCTCGGTTTTTTCAGTTCTTTGTGGGTCCAAGAACTGTCTCATTGTCATATTCAGTTCTGGGATATTGCTGGTGATGATTTTGTCAGTGCGTATTTGGTTTTGGTTTGCGGAGAGAGAGGAGTGCAGCCAGCTTGCTTCTGTGCTGCCATTTTGGAAACAGAAGTGGAAAGGTTTAATTCACGAATCCTAGTGGGAGACTTTAACTCACTTCTCTTAGTAACGGATGGAACAAGTAATCAGAAGAAAAAATTAATAAAAATACAGAAGATTTGAATAAGATAATTATCACACATAAGCTAATTGGCATATATATACATATGTTACAACTAGACATGTCACAATTTCAAAATTGAATATTTGCTTGGGCATAAAGCAAGTATCAACACATTTCAAAGGGTAAAATCATACAGAGTGTGTTTTCTGGCCACAGCAGAATTAATCTGGAAATGAGAAAATAATGGAGAAATCCCATAAGTTTAGAAGTTAAGATATATATTTTTAAATAGCCAGTGGGTCAAAGAAGGAATCATAATGAATTTAGAAATATTAGTTTAGCTGAATGATGGTGAACATGTTATATATCAACACTGGTACCTTTTATTACTGATAGAATGCAACTAAAATTATGCTTTTGGTGAAATTTAGAGACTAAAATGTTTATATTGGAAAAGAGGTATTGACTTCTTTTTAGCCAACTTAAGCATTCACCTAAAGAAATTAAAGAATAGGCAATGAAAACCAAATAAATTAGAAGGAGGGTAATGATAAAGAGCTGGCATTAATGCAATAGAAAGGAAACACCAAGGAGAAGATTTGTTCTAAAGTCCCTTGGAGGAGCAGCTTGAGAAAAAAGAGAGAAGGTATAAATAATTATTATCAGGAAGGATAGGCTGTCACTATAGATCCTACAAATACAAGATGGTTAAGGAGATATTTTGAGCTACTTTATGCCAATAATTTTGAAAATTTAGATCAAATGTACAAATTCCTAGGAAAACACAACTTGCCAAAACTGGTGAGAAAAAACAGAAAATCTGAAGAGTTTTATTACTTTGAACAAAATTAATACCATAATTAAAAGAATTAAGAAGACAATTCTTTGTTCAGATGGCTCTAGTGGTGGTGTTTTTTTAACCAAACTTTTAATGAATAAATCATGCTAATATTACATAATTTGTTCCAGAGGATCAGTTCCCAGTTCATTTTGGGTCCAGCATAACTTCAACATAAAACCTGGAATGAATACAACAGAGAGGAAATTACAGAGTAACCTCACTCATAAGTATAGATGTAAAAATTCTAAACATAGCAATAGCAGACAGAAATCCAGGGATGTAGTAATATAAAAATTGATAATATGTGAGGACCAAGTCTGTCATAAGAATATAAGGTTGGTTCAATATTAGAAAATCTATCAGTGTAATTTACCACATAAAAAGAGAAAAGCCAAACAGTCATCTCAAGAGATGGTAAAAAGCACTTGATAAAATGCAGTATCCAATTGTGATGAAAACACTTAGCTGTCAAGGAGTAGGTAATTCCCCAGTCTGATAAGAGGTATCTACAAAAATAATGCATGAAGATCATATTTAATGGTTTAATTAAGAAAGCTTCCCTCTAAAATCAGGAAAGAAACAAAGATACCTGGAATTACGACTTCTTTTCAACATTATATTGCAATTCCTAGCCAGTGTATGACAATATGAAAAAGAAACTGTACAAGGATTGGAAGAGAAGAAATAAAGCTGTCAGTTGCAGATGACATGGTTATGTATTTAGGGGGAAAAAACCTGGATGTAAATTATTAGGATTAATAGGATAATAGAATAGAATTAATAAATAGATTAGATAATAACATTAGAATTAATAAATGAGTTTAGCAGGGTTTCTGTGTACATTGTCATTATACAAAAATCAATAGTTTTCATCAGTTAGAAAATGAAATTTAAAAAATGATAGTATTTATAGCAACAGGAATTTATCACTTAACAAATGTAATGAAAGGTATTCAAGATACCTGTATAGAAAGCTATCAAGCATTGAAGTCAAAATAAAAACATGTTATATGATATTCATAAGTTAGAGGATAATTTTGTGGTATCAGTTCTTCTCAGATTGATTTGTTAGCTTTAGTGCAACCTCAATTAAGTCCTAAAAATTTCTTTGGTGGAAATTGACAAATTGTAGTTGCATATAAAGAGCCAAGAATAGCCAAAGCAATAGTGAAGAACAAAAGAGAAGGACATATTCTAGTGGTCATCTAGACTACTTACAAAGCTACAATACTTAAGACATTGTAAGACTTGGCAGAAAGATAGGTATATTGACCAGTAGGATAAATAGAGCCATATAGACACCTGATTGATTAAAAAAGGTAAACCTGCAGCACAGTTAATAGACAGTGCTGGATCAGCTGGATATGCCATATTGGAACAAATAGAAACTTGCACTCTGTCTCACACCATAGGCATAAATAAATTCCAGATGGATTGGAGATGTAAACGTGAAAGGTAAAACAATAAAGCTTCTATAATAAAATTGGGGTAATATTTTCAAGACCTTGGGATTGAGAAGTTTTTCTTAAACGGGATACAAAAAACAGTAACTATATTTAGATTGCTAATTGGACAGAAAGTGAAGATCTTCTATTCATCAAGACAGAAGAGTGAAAAGGCAAGTTATGAAATAGCACAAGATATTTGCAACACAGATAACCAACAGTGGGATCATATTCAGAATATATAAAGGACTCTTACAAATCAATGAAGAAAAAGACGGACAACTCAGGAAAAATGGGCAAGAGATTTAATTTAAGCAGGTATTCACAAAACAAGATATCTAGATAGCCAATAAAAGTATGTAGAAATAGTATTAAAATCTCATTAGAAAAAGTACTAAACCTCATTAGTAATCAGGGAAATGCAAACTAAAACCACAATGATATAGAATTCATACCCACTAGAATTGCTAAAATAAAGACCGACAAGTACCAATTGTAATGTTGCATAGTATGTGGAGATAGTGCCCCTGTTGTATACTGTTGTAGAAGTCTAAATTGGTAGAACCAATTTGGAAAGCTACTTGGAGTTTTCTGCTAAAGTTGAACATACCCATGGCCTGTGATTATTCCCCTCCTGGGTGTATACCCAACAAAAATGTGTGCTTGTGTTAACTAAAAGACATTCAGTAGAAAGTTCATAACATCACTATTTTGTAATATTCCAAACTGCAAAGAATCCAAATGTTTATTAGTGGGAGAATGGGTAAATAAACAAGGAATACCATAGAGCAATGAAAATGAATAGACTACAACTACATGGCTCTCATAAACATAATTTTGAGGGAAAGAGGGTGGATACATTATAATACATACTGTGTAACTCCAATTACATAAAACCAAACCTGCAAAAGTAATTTATGACATTACAAGTGTGGCTAGTCCCTTTTGGGAGGTAGGAGGAGTTAAGGGACAGGGGTTGGGGTGGTCCTGGTGTTAATGTTTGATTTCTTCTTAGTTAGGTTATTAGCTACATGGGAAGTTCACTGAGATACATACTTAAGTTTTATGTATGTTTTTGTATTGGTAGTACTTAAACAAGTTAAGATGTTTAATAAGGGATATAGATTTTCTTTTGGTTTGCTGATTTACTATTTTAAGGCAGACCTTTGTGACCATCCAACAAATTAACTTCTGTCAGACTGATATTTCTGCAGACTGATAGATAATTGGTCTAACCATTTTGCCAGGGTCTGTTAGGGACAGGTTTGAGTGAATATGTGCAGTCAGGATTTTTTGACATCCTTGACTCTGCCAATTATTAGCTTGACTTTATAAAGAATTGTTATCTTTTAGGTCGTGATAAATTGTGCCATTCCTAAAGGGTTGAAGTACAATCAAGCTACACAGACCTTCCACCAGTGGCGAGATGCTAGACAGGTGTATGGTCTCAACTTTGGCAGCAAAGAGGATGCCAATGTCTTCGCAAGTGCCATGATGCATGCCTTAGAAGTGTTAAATTCACAGGAAACAGGTAAGGTGTCTGTGGTTTACCTGTCTTGAAGTGAAGTGCCATGTATATGTTAAAGCAAATCTTTTTGTCAACTTTTAAATCATATGTATATTTGAAATAATTCTTGAATTTTTGTTATTTTCTATAAAAATATGAACCTCTGTTGATAAATGTATAATCTAGAAGGATAATCCTATGAGTTCAATTAATCTAGTAATTTTTCAGCCCTCTCATTTGAAATTATTCGTGTTTCATCCTGCTCTAGAAACTCAACTTTTGTTGCAAGGGCATGAGGCCCAGAGAAGATGCAGTGCATAGGAATTATGCTTATTTACCATCTTTCTTTTTGTGAAGAAACACTTATGTTTGCTGAAACACATTTTTCAAGCCACTACTGAGCCCATGAGCCTTATATAGGACTAGGTCTCCTTCCTAGTAGATAAAAATTGGATTCTAAAAGTTGTTTAAAGATTTTGGGAGTGCCCTCTGGTGGTGCTTGCATGAATTGCATCTCCTCTGACCCTGCATGTTTTTAGAAAGATAGGTAGATCTGGAATTCCTGAGCTCAAGCAATCCTCCCGCCTCAGCCTCCCACAGGATTGCTCAAGCAATCTTCGGCCTCTCCCAGGATTATAGGCGTGAGCCACTGCACCTGGCTGATATATAGAAATAATCCACTTAAAAAAAACCCCAGGATTTAAAACTTGTATATGTGTCGGGAATGAGCTCAGTTTTGTCTTGGTTTAAAAAAAAAGAAATACACCAATGTGTTTATTTCTTTGAAGAGAAAGATTTTATAATCAGAAAATAAATGTTATCTAAAAAACAATACAAATATGGTTACTGTTGCCTATGTGTGTATTTAGTAATGATTTTAATGATAGAAATGTGCTAAAAACAGGATTTATTTATATATTTTAAGAGGAAGGAGTTATAGTCAGATGAAATTTTGATAGTTTGTTGAAGGTCTAGAATTGCAAAATTTGTTATAAATATGTTAAATTATAATTATACCTTGCTTTATTCTAAAAAGGATTGAAGCATCTAGCTCATGTGTTAGGCTGTTTCAATTATGAATTTCAGAGCAAGAAGACATTTTGGGATCTTGCAGAAACTTAAGTTGTTATGCCTGTGGATGTTTTTATTAGTTCTTCTTTTGAGGAAATTAATACCTATAAATAACTTGTACGTAGTTGTTACCTTTTATCTGTTTTGAAAAGTAAACCACTGGAACTTCTCCTACTTTGTCTCTAAGTACAGAAAATACCGTAGGAAAGTCTGTGCAGTCTTGTATGTAGGTCATTTCTTTAAGTCTTCGTACTGCTCTTGCAGGCACCAGTATTTTTTCGGCATTCTGTTATAGGTATAGAATTGCTTTTTGTTCACTGTAGTTTTACCATAGAGAAGGTAGAATTGTGACTCTTAATATCTTTTAGATAGGTCAATTACATAATAAATAATTAAGGGACCAAAATTTGGAGAGTGTATGTATGACAACATTGGCTTCCCCATCCATGTTTGGGACAAACTAGCATTATTTGTAATTTTAAACCTTCAAAAGAGTATCCAGTGATATTAGGGACTAAATATTACTGATATTAGGAACTTATATTAGAAACTAAATGTTACTTATTTAAAATTGTTCATCTTGTCATTGATATTTTTAAACCAAATAGGAAGGATTGTTTTTATCAGTGAGTAGTCATATAGTTTGCTTTCAAAATGCAAATGCTAATTAATTTTTTTTCTGATCTTGGATCTTTTGGCATTAATGAGTCTTAATGTAGAGAGAGCATTAAGAAACGACATTCCACCATATAGAAAATTTGGCAAATGTGAAAATCGCCCATCATTTCACTAGCTACATAAGCATTTTAGTGCGGCAAAAAAACTAATAGGATTCTTCTTAGATGATTTTGATACTTTATTCTCTTCTTTTGTCACGATATCAAACACTAATACCGTGGGCTGAGGAAAGAGAGATAATGGTGGAGGAATTTGATCCATCTCAGCTGTCTCCTCGTATCGTGGACCAAGTCTTTGGCAAAGAAGCTTTTGGTTCTGTAGTTTTTTCATCATGGAAAACAAAGCATATAAACTGGTTAATGTTCTGCATAGTCTGATTTATTTAGGAAATGACTTTTTACAAATTACTGTAGTTAAGCACTAATTTGTGATTTTTTTATGGCATTAATTGATTTGGAAGTGGAAGCATGGTGGGGGGTAGATGTTAAGAATTAGGAGTGCTCTTAGGAAGGGATATAATTTCTTATGCATATCCACAAAGTAGAATAGGTATGTACCCTACCCCAGTATTATTATGTGGGCCCTCCTCCCATCCATCTAAACAAACATACCCAATAATGTCGCCACTCAGCTTGATCATATGCCCTGCCAAAGCTGTTCGATTTGGGTTCATAGCCAATTCCTTGCTGGAATCATCTACTGTCTTTCTGCCAAAACCAAGCTAAAAAAGCTTGACTTGTGTGTCCCTCCCCCAAATGAATGGCCCAATAAAACTCTGATCAGAAGCAAAAGAACAAACTTATTCATAAAGGTAAAGCAACTACAGATAACAGTCTTGCCTCTTAATGTTTTACCATGTTTTAAAACCATTTTTCCATATTGAACATTTCTATTTACATTTTTGTTTATTTAGGTGTTAATGTCAATATTATCCATTGTCATTATTGGTTAATCCTTCTCAGTGATTTTCAGACTTTTTAAAGGTATGGACACTTGTTCAAATGCACATAAGCTCAGTGGATAAACTGACAAAAAAACAGAGCTTCACTGATTGGTGTGAAGGTCAGGACCCACAGCAACTAAGGCACCTGTGTGATTCTCAAAAGCTGGATTCGAATATTACTAACTCATCTTTCTTGCCAAAAGCAATAATCACACAATTCTCCTTTCCTCCCTGTCCCCTAAGTCCCCTAAATTCTCTAATTTCTTAAGAAAAAATAGCTTTTTGGGGGGATAGTCATGCTGACCTTTAGAAGGTGCTCTGTGTGTGTGTTTAATATTTCCTTTTTCTTAAGAAAAGGGTGGATGGCGGGAATGTTTTCCTTTATTTTGTTTTTAACTTGGTGTGCAATTATCTAATATACTGGAAAGTACAGGAGGTGCTAAATACAGTGAGTTATATTTGGAATTAAAAAAAAAACAAACCACATGTTCTAACATTTTTGAAAAAGTTGAATTAGTGCTCTTCCCTTTATACCAAATGCTACAGTGTATCTTTTCCTTTTTCTAATGGAAATGGACTCAGTTATAAACGAGTATATTATCCAAACATATTTTTCATTTCTATATTAATTTATCAAACACATTTATAGATTTTTGTAGGTAATTGTTATGGGTTAATTATATAAACTACAAAGTTTTTGTGATGATTGGTGGAGGTAAATTTGCACAATGTTTTATTTTGTAAAAGGTTTAAATCATTTGAAAATAGGAAATAATTTTTAAAATGAATTAAAAAAAAGTGATATGCATAGCCAAGCTTTTGTTCTACTGAACCAAGATCAAGCACCCTTTCCCAAAAGGAAAGCCTCAAAATATTTTACCATTAACAAAAAGACAGCTTTTGCTCGATTTTATGTTTTATCTGTTGAAAATGGGAACATAGTCAAAGATATCTCCTTATGGTTGAAATTTTCTTCAGATTTTATAATAAACAGATTCCATTCATTTTTTTCTTAATGATAATTTGGCCCGACATACCTTCCAATATAAGCATTTGCACAAGCTTTATTTCAGCATTTTAAAATCTCTTCATGATATGTTTTGTAATTAATTAGATTAAAAAAATCTCAAAAACTGTTTCTAGACATACTTTGTTTAGAGTGACAGTTTAATTTTTCATTTTTCCAGATGGCTGATAATTAAGCTTTCATCACAAAAATACCTCCAAATAAACATGTTTTGTGCATAGGCACTGGGAGTGGTACTAACATGATAAAGCCTGTCCCTTCCCTTCCAGGATTTCACAGTTGAGCTGAAGCTACTAGAAACAGGCCAGCAAAATTAGGATGCAGTTTGTGAATGTAGTATGAAGAAAAAGACCTTTGGAATAGCAAAGAGAATTCTAGGGTCAGGGAAAGCTCTGAAGAGAAGATGATATTTCAGCTGTGCTTTGAATGAGGAGGCCTCATCAGTGATAGAAGAACATTCTAGATAGGTTTGGAGGCATGAGAGCATGGAGCAGTTGGGAAACAACAAATAGGCCATGTTGTGGCTTGGACCTGAGAATTTATATGGGCTTGGGAGGAGTCCCAGGAGATAAGACTGGCGAGGTTGGGCAGGGCCTGGTGTTCCTGCTGTAGGGTATGCCTTTTATCACGTAGGTGGTGAAGAGCCACTGAAGGATGCTAAATAAATTATTATCAGGTTTGTGTTTTAGGACAAGTGTGATGTATTGGTGAGCATATGGTTACAACCAAGAACATCAGTTCAGGACACTGTTGTGATTGTGAGAAAGCTGAGGCCTGAAGTGACACAGTAGAGAGAAGGAGCAGAGTGAAGAGAAGATCACCACCAGCTTTTATTTAAAGGTGCCTGCTGTACCTGCTAGTACTCTAGCCTTCTGTCTCTGTCTTCATTTAGTCCTTAAAGCAGTTCTGAGACAAGAATAATCTGTTGGTCACCTGCTGTGTGTCCAGTCTTAATCTGGCATAGACATTACTGATAATCTTTATAAGAACCCTACAAGATGGGTGGTATTATCCTTGTTTTAGAGATGTGACTAGGGCTCCTAGGAGGTCCTGGACTGGCCCAAGGGCCCACAGCTAGACAATGGCATTAGAGGCATTTGTACCAAGATCTAATTTTAGAATTCAGTGTCTTTCTACTCTGTCAGTAAAATGTAATGGGCAGGCCAAGAAGGAGAGAATGATGTTTTAAGATAATGACCAGTTGTATGAGTTTGGACCACTGATAAAGTTGGTACTGTTAACCTGAGACGGAGAGGAAGATGGTGAGGAGCTGCTTTAGGGGAAATACTGCGCAGTGGATGACGA